AWTTTTTTTTTTTACTGTTTTACTTTATCAGTTTTTAATTATTATCCATTATCCAATATAAATTAATTGAGGGAGGGATTAGTTTTCAGTTAAAAATAACTAAGGTTATGATTCAAATGATAATAACAACACCGTGACTTTCATAAAATTTAAACATATAATTAATTATACTCAGTTCTTTCTTTTGTAAATTTATCTTCAATAAACAATGCCAATAAACACAATATTGATTTACAAACAAATCATGACACATAATAATATAAATTAAAAATAAATGAATATAATAGAAATGAAAAAAAAATGAAAAAAAAATATGACATAATTTAAGTCTTAATAAAATTAAAATACATAGACAAATAAATATTAAGAAAGTGTACAATGTTACAATGTTATCTTGATTAAAACACAAGTAATATAAAACAAACATTAAACACTAATTCGAACACATACTTTTTCGAAATAAAATATTTACAATCGATATGAAATTGTATGAGAGTTAAAATTAAAATATTATTTGTAATGTTATTAACAACTGAATGAAGATATCAAATAGTAAAATGGATAAATTATCCATTCAAAATCACTTTTATAGACATAATGAATTATTTTATTTTACATATAACAGGAATCTTCAAAATAAATAATCACTTATTGAATAATTGAAAATGCATGGCACATTTTTATTTAAAAATATATATTAAATAATAAAAATTTACTAGGAACATAACGTTCCTGTTTCAATAAAAGTATCTTAGGAAGAAATATTTACTTACTTTATAAATCAATCATTCATAATTTCAAATTGCAGGTAAAAATGTGTAAGTTAGAATCTAATTTTGATATTTTGATTATTTCAAATAAACATAGCTCACTTGAAATTTTAATTAAAATTTTTTTAAATGAAATTTATTTAATGTCTTATGGTAAATTTACTAAAAAGTAATAAGTCTTGAAATCAGTTACTTCACGGCCTCCAAGAAGTTAACAATAACTTGTCATTCAATTCAGATAAAATGATAGCACATACTTTTGCTTTTTCATTCTTCATGATAGTATGATATATTTTATCTTCTGGATCTTGCACGACTTTTGTTTTATAATTTTGTTTTAGAGATGCCACACCTTTTTTAGGCTGTGATATCTGTACACCTCGGCGACCTTGAAAATTATCTTTTGGTTTTGCATTTGGTTTTTCAGTACGTTTCTGTAAAAATATTTAAATTAAAGATAAAATTCAATTTTTTTAAATATAATATTATGAATTAAAAATATATTAAATAATAGATGTATGAGTAGGCATAGAAATCCCAAGAAACTTGAATATTTCACAAAAAAATTCATAAAATAAGTTTCTACAGACAAAATTAAAAATGTTATTAATTTTTTTTAATTACTATGAATTTCAAATGTACTTAAAATGTGAACATTTAAACACTAAAASTTTATTTTTGTGAATACAATTATTAAATATTATTATAAATCATAAAAGGAAACAAATTTTAATGCATTTTTAATGCATAGTTAAATTAAATGGTTGAATTTAGAGTCAATTATATAATACGGTCTATGCAATAAGAACATCGCTATTTTTTAATAGTCATGCATAATTAAAATTGTATATATTATATAATCAATTTCTAATGTTTGACAACAATGTATTTTTCTTTAGGTGTGATAAAAAATATTGATAATAATTATATATTTAAGTTTATTGATAAATATTAACTATAAGCAATATTACAAGGTATAGTACCAGTAATAAAATAATATAATATWTTTAAAAAAATTGGTCAATTAAAAATTTAGCATTTGTCAAATTAAAAATGATAATTATAGAACATCAAAAACAACTAACATAATATACACATGACTCAAAGTGTAAATTTTTTGTGATGAATCAACTTACTCGAGTCTTACGTATGAACGCAGAGGCGTCGTAATAGTTAGGTTTTTCACGGCGTACACGTTCAGTCCTACGGCGGCCGTCTGAACGTGTAGTTGGAGCGGTTGAACCATCTTTGGATTCTTGGACTGACACTACCGTCGCCGCTGCCACCTTGGCTGGGGCGACTTTGGGGRTGATGTCTTTTTTGGACAGGTAAAACGAATGCTTGCATTTGGTACAAGTTTTCACAGCAACAGGGTACTGAAATTAATAATAATTGATGACAACATCAAACAAATAAAATWAATTTAATGGGACAATTGGATGATAACCAACATGGCTAWCCATCGCGAGCGGTAATTAATTTTTTTACGTTACCTGTAGGCCACAACCGGGGCAAATTTTTTTCACGGAAACTTTTTTGTGTTTTAACATGTATTGATCTTTTTACGTGAATTTGACGGTGGAAAAACAACCGGCCGGCCCCGGTGTACTTGTGCCGTGRTATGTTAGCAATGACGACCCGGCATCACCAATGACGGTCGACGTGAAATCCAAAAAGTCGGACGAGTGAAGACGTTTATTTTAACTGGAAAATAAAGCAAACATCAAAACAAAATTGATTTATTGCCATTTAAAATCGAAAGGACGACGTCTATCGTCTAGTGCAAACGCTGTCGGTGACCTCTGGTGGATAATACTCCAACTGCCAAGTGGCAAGTACCAGTACGTAATGAACTAATGAGTACAATAATTCGAATTTCCYTATTCAGTGTCCCTCCTCGGTCGTCGTTATCGTGGTATYCTAGCTATTCATCACGTTGGCAACACCCATACGTGCTTATCATTCATTATTCATTTCTTWATCAAATTATTCATCATTCASTATTCACKAWTCACGAAT